TGTGGCTCCCCCCCAAATTGATGGCACCTGGACTTTTCCTTAAATATGGGGATTCAGGTCACCGATTATCTAGAACGCGCCCATAATATCACATCAACGATAGAACAATTCAAGTCCATGGTCCAAATATTTGGATTCCCAGATTCCTTCTCAACATCAAGATTCCTGCAGCTTTTGCAAACATTAGGGACACCACCCCAAATATTTGGTGATATCAGCATGTCCTCCAACATTGGGCAACCAGACCTTTTCACAGATATCCCCCCCACACACTTTGTTCAGGAACAGCCTTAGTTTCCGGCTCACCTTCCCCTTCTACCTGGGGCCGGGGCGGCTCCGTTTCCCGCTGTTGGCAACACCGTCTCCTCCCGAGGGTGAGAGATCGGGGAGCCAGCGGCAGTGGTTCCCACGCCTGCCTGTCCGCCCGAAGGCAGCCCAGTCCGGAAGCTAGCACTGCCGCCCGGTCCTTATCCCTTCCCCCCTCCTCCTCCTCCCACCCGGTTCCCAGGGGCTGGAAGCTGACAACAACAAGTGAAGGGGATGTGGGGGTGTAGACGAACCTCCGCGGTCCCCGCGTGCGTGTGTGCGGCTGCGCATGTTAATGGGCTGTACCCTGTGTATGGTAGTACAGTGACTGTGTTCTCTTGCGAAGCGGCTTGGGGGATGTTGCCATCCGGCCTAACCCGCTGCCGGGCTGGGTCGCCAGAGACAGACTCTGGGTTGGAGAGAGCAGCTCCCCTCCTCTCAGATCTAGACCCACCCCCAATGCAGAGCCTGCCTCTCCCTCAGGGTACAGCTAATAACCTCTAATTACTGCTCTTTACGTCTCTCGTCCCGCGGGGGAGGGGCTGCCCGGGAACTCGGCGTTAAAGCGCGCAAGCCTGGGCTTTATCCCTCTCCGTAAGGTCGGGTCCACCCAGAGCCTGTTTCCTCGCCTGCGAACCGGGAGTTCAAACACACTTGCCAGCTAGAGTCCTGGAGAGATTTCAACCGTCTGTATATTTAAATCACTTAGCTCAGGGACTGCATACTGTAGGCACTCAATAAATGGTGACAGCGATTTTATGGTTAACTACTCTTGTTAATCACTTTCCTTTGAGCCCTCTCCATCGCCCAGACGTGGTCTCAGACTCAATTCATCCTCTTGCCCCTATACCGCGTTCCTGCAGTCTGAGCGCCCCCTGGTGGGCCACGGGGACCTCGTCCTGGTTCTGAGGAGGACTCTGGCTCTGGGCTCGGGAAGGGGAAAGCGCAGGGAAAGCTCAGTGGAGGACGGATCCAGGCTGGGCAAGTGTGTCTGTCTATCACCCAGAACATGTGTCTGGCTGAGTCTTCTTGCCCTCGACCTAGGACCACATTCATCTAGGGACCGTCCCCTTATCTACGCCGGGGCAAGACTCTCAAGTCACCTTCACCAGGAAGACTCCTTTAGGATCCCCCCTCCAAGTCCACGGAATGTGTTATGGCCTGCCACTCTCCCGTGCACATAAAGGCTCCAATCATAAGGTGATTAAACAGCAGAATTTCTTTTAGCCGAAGGGAAGAGACGTGAATTTCCCGTATAACAGGGTAGGATAGTTCCGCCTCGGGTGCTGAGAAACGGTCGTGAGGTCTCTCCTGCCCCCAAAAGAGCTGGGGGAGGAGGGATGCGCTAAACTGGCCCAGACTGACCCCTAGCGGCAAGGTGAGCGCCGGATCGCTGCCCGGATCCAAGATGGCAGCACTGGAGGCCTGAGCTGGCGCCCTGAGGAAATCACGTGTTCGGGGCGGGGCCTGCGCCTAGGGGGCGGAGCGGGGCGGCGCTCTAGGCTGAGCGGGAGGTCGCGGCTGCAGACGCTCACTGGTGGCAGATCTGGAGGCGGCTGCGGTAGCAGAGCTCCGCGGCCGTGGTCGAATCTGTTCGGGAGCCATGAGCGTGGACAAGGCCGAGTTATGCGGGTCTCTGCTCACCTGGGTAGGTTGGAGGCGGGGCCAGGGGCAGGTGTCCGTCCGCTCTTTTCGACTGGGATCCCAGGCCTTGGCTTGGTTCACTTTTCTGCCCTGGGGCTAGGAGGAGGAAGGGGGTTGTCGGCCTGCGGGGCCGTTGGACTCTGGCCTGAGCACCCGCTCCCGTCACGTGGCAGGTCTGCGTGGAAAGAACAGGTGAGGCCCCGCCCCTTCGTGGCTTGGTCACGTGGGGCGAGGGCACAGGTGAACTGGCCTGGTGACGCGGGCCTGTGGGGCCGAGGTGACTCGGTTCTGCCCTGGACTGGTCGCGCGGGGTTTGTGGGACAGAGGTAAAGTGAGGCCACGCCCCCTCCGGTCCCAGGTGAGCAGAGCCGGCCGGCTTGCTGGAGCAACAGGCCAGCTTTAGTCCAACCATGTAAAAAGTTCCTGGTGACTGGAAAAGTCTGCAAAAAGGGAGTGGTTCGTTGGTTTCAGACCCTGACGCTGTCCATTGTGCTTTCCTCTTCCCCACAGTTGCAGACGTTCCATGTCCCATCCCCCTGTACCCGCCCCCAGGAGCTGAGCAGTGGCCTGGCCATAGCCAATGTGCTGAACCAGATGTAAGTGGAGCTGAGGGGGAGGGTCCCCAGAGAGTCCCCCAGCAGCTCATTTCATCTTCTTATCCCCAGAGACCCTTCCTGGTTCAATGAGGCATGGCTCCAGCGCATCTCAGAGGACCCAGGTCCCAACTGGAGGCTGAAGGTGACAGGTGGACTCGACTGGGGGACAGATTGAAGAGTTGATTAGGGAAGACTTAGCTAGACATGTTCTGGAGGATGGGTCAGTTAGACATTTGTTCTGAGTAATGGACAGACAGACCTGGGCGGGAAGAGGAACAGATGTCTGTTGATCGGCCAACTATTTAGTCTTTCATTCATGTATTGAGCAGGTCTGGGCGTGCAGCAAGGAGTAACACAGCAAAAACCTGCATGCACATAAACATTGACTTCCAACTGCAGTAAATTATATGTAGATGATAAAAGCTGGGCCATGAGAGGGAGCAACTGGGAGTTGGTGGGTAGTTACTCCAGATGGGCTGATCTCCATGTGAGATTTGGAGAAATGGTATTGCAGGCACAGGGAACAGCAAATACAAAAGCTCTGAGTTGAGAATAAGTTTGGTGTGATCAAGGAGTGGCAGAGAAGTCATAACAGAAAGCAAGGGGGCCGGAATGGTAGATGAGGTCATCAGGGGCCTGGTAGGCCCAGGGCAGAGAGGTGGATTCTATTTTAAGTGCTGTGCAAAGTCAAGGAAGGGTTTTAGCAGAGGAGACAATCTGGCTTGGGCTTGAAAAAGCTCCCCCTGGCTGCTTGGAGAGGAATGAAGGGTAGGCAACATGAGTGGAAGCTGAGACTGGGAAGAGATGACAGTGGCCAGGGCCAAAGCGTGGTGGTGGGGCAGGTGGCAATAAGTGATTGGATTCTGGGCACATGTAGCCTAATGAGCAGGTGGACAAAAAGGGCAGGCAGCCAGACAGATCAGGCTTAGGAGAGAGGACATTCAGCTATAGAGAATGGGGCCAAACAGGATGAGATGACCGGGAATTGGCAGGGGAGGTGGAAAAAAAGGGTGCAGATAAATTCAGAGTGAGGGCTGCCTGGCTCCTGCTGGGGAGCTCTGGGACCCTGGATAAAACTCCTTGTCTCTCCTCAGGTCAGCAACCTAAAGATAATCTTACAGAGCCTGGTGGAGTACTCCCAGGATGTGAGTAGCTGTCAAAGGATTTAAGGGGTTGTTTTGGGAGGAGGAGGGCCTGTGAGCCC